CTGTATTCTGTAGAATACTCAGTTTCTCCAATATAGCAGTCCCCACACTAGCAATTTATTTTATACACAGCCCCCTTTTTTGGTTTGGGGATTTTATCCTTAGACAGCAGCAGTTGCAGTATGTCTACCAGCCTGAATTCACTCTTATGCTGTTCTTGTCCAGAATTTTCTTTATCTTATCAGTTATTGCTACAGAAGGATTGCATACTGTTTGTAATCCTTGTTTAGTCATTCTGATACTTTTCTTGTTCTAGTTATATCATTTATAGTGCTATAAAGAAAAACTCTTTGAAGAGGCCTTACAAGTGTTGGAAACTCTTGATTTGCAAGTTGCATCAGTTTTGTTATTTTGTCAGCTGTTTTCATTAGTGACCAGACTACTCATCTTTTTGTTGAGGTAATTGTCTCTGTCTTCTTTTTTATACTTAGTGGTATATTATCTTGCTTCACCAGAACATTATCTTGCTTCACCAGAACATCCAGGGGTGATGACCTGTCATTCATGGTAACATTTATGGTCCTGTGTTGTCTGTTCAGATGGTTTAAAATTTCATCAACTATTCTTTTTCATGCTGCTAGACAATAAAAGTATCATCAACATATCTAAACTAATCTGAGACTATCAGGGCATTTTCATTGTCTCATGCCATATTAGTGGAAATAATTTCATCAGTGAACAGTGGCCATGAAAACTTACATTCTACAGTCTTATTATTTTGTTTGTTTTAGTTGTGTACATGACAGTTTTTTTCTGTAAATCACATTCTTTCAGTTTCCTGAAAGCTGTCAATCACTCAGCTATTTCAACATTCTTGACTGTTCTGCTGAGTCCATTTTGAATGATTAATAAATCTCAGGGACCAGGTACAGGAATTGTCACCTAATTGTGTTGTTTGTGCAGGGAGCTAACTTTTCATAGCATTGCACACCACACTGTATTAAATTGCATATTTCAAGTAATAACTTGAAATAAAATAATTATTAGGGTGTTTACAATAAGTACTAGAAATCAAATGTTACAACAGGGACACTCCACACTGGGAGCTCATAGTTCCTTGGGCTGAATCCAACAATGTTCTTCTGCTAATAGAATACACATGCTGGTGGATCAAATTTCACTTCTCTGTCATCCTCTGCACATTTCCCAAACCTGCTTCAAAAGAACTTTGGACTCTCCATAACAGATGTTGGAGGCTATATAGGATAGGTGCAAGAGGAAACACCCACTATACAAGGGGCTATCATTGGATTTAGCCTAATATAACAAAGAAATAGTCAACAACCTATATCGTGCCTTCTAAGAATGGACTTAGGTAGAAATACCACTTATTCAGGAGGTGCCATCAGTTAGGACTACTGGATAAGAGGTCAGTGTCAGCATGCTTGGAAGAGAAGTTTGTGGAAGTGAAACTTAAAAAAAATAAATAAATAAGACCGGGGGTAGAGTGGGGAGGGGAGGCAGTCAACCAAGAAGGCCAAAACATGCTCAATAGCCACAGAACTTCCAGTGAGAAAAGGAACCTGGAATGAGAATGGAATTGAGTTCCTGCAAAAGGACAAAGCTGGCTGGTTGGCATTTTGCCTAACAGGAGCTGTAAGGAAACAAAGATCTGTAATATTCTCTAATATGTAATGAGGAGAACCAGTATGATAGTACATTGCTGTCCATGCCAGACCACAGGTTTTACTGTTCATTTTCACATGCTTATAGTCAAATTTTAAGTATCATTTCATCAAAGCAATTTTAATGCCGTAGCCAGGTATGAAGTAGATTCAGCAGGAGACAAAGTCCTCTTGCCTTCATTATTGCAAAAGGATCTTCCAATTTACTTTATGTGGATATAAAAATGAAATCCTGGTAATAAAATGTGCTGTTGAATCAGCATCAAAGGAAAAGTGGAGTCTATCTAACAAACATCAGAATAAAATAAAAGGAGGTGAAACCTGGGACATGTCAGCTTGGAGGCTAGTTTCCCCCTCCCAGCATATTTCCTTTTGGCTGGTTGCCTATTTCTAAAGAAGTTTCAGTCTTGTAAGTTTGTTGAACAAAGTTAAACACTATAATGCTGTCAATCATAGACTTAAATGGAAATACTTTTAACATTGTGTACAACCTTTCATTTTTTAAAAAATTCTAAAATCCTTAATGAAATACTTTGAATTGGGAGCCAGCAGTAATTAAGCTCTGACAAAGATATTCCCGCCCACTGCTGACTGGTCTGTCACCAAAAAGCGAGCTGACTCTGATCTGTCTTTTCTTCCTAATACTGAGTGTTCCAAATCATTATTTCTCAATCTTGATGACTTTAAGATGCATGGAGTTCAACTCCCAGAATTCAGAAATGGGAGCAGCATTATCTGGGAACAAGGGACGTGAAAAGATTGCATACAGACTTGATTTCACTTCCGAAGAAGGTAGTGAGTGAGCAACTCATGGCAAGCACTAATTTATAGGTGTCAATATCTGAGTAATGAGCAGGCACACTGCGCCAAATTTGCACAGTGTAGTGTCTTTTAAAATATATTTTACAATCAAGTGGCCAAAGATAGAATGATAGAATTGGAAGTGACTTAAGAGGACTTCAAGTCAAACCTCCTGCACACTGCAGGATTCACTATACCATCCTTGATAGATGTTTGAAAACTTTCAGTGAAAGGGAAAAAACCACTACATGTGGTAACCTATTCTATTGAATGACAGCTCTTACTGTCAAAGAATTCTACATCCTTAATGTTTCATCCTATTAGTTCTAGTCTTACCCTCTGGAGCAAATGAGAATGAGTCTGAACCCTCTACAATGTCACTGCCCCTCAGATATTTGAAGACAGCTATCATGTCCCCTCTCAATTTCTCTTCTGCAACCTAAACATACCTAAGTCTTTTAACTCTTCCTCATAGGGCTTGATTTCTAGTCCTTTCACCATCTTAGTAGCATGTCTCTGACCTGCTCCAATTTATCAATATCTGTTTTAAACTGGTGTTTGCCAAGCTGAATGCAATACTCCAAGTGAGGCCTCACTAAGGCCGAATAGAACAGGATAATTACTTCCCACAGTCTGGACTCTGTGCCATTGTTGTTGTCCTTCTTGATAGCTGCATTACCACTGTGGGGACATGTTGAGCTTGTGATTCACTCGTATTGCCAAGTCCTTCTCACATGTGCTGTTCTTGAGCCAGA